ATCGCTATATGAAAGTTCTGTGTAAAAAAATATGAAATCCATGTACAGATCATAGTGTGTGATAACTATGTGGCTTCATTTTTGTATGACTTATGCTATACATACTCAAGTCTGAGTAAAAAAATCTACATGCATGAACAAGCATTATGTTACAAACCACATACAGATTTCACACTAATATAGGGATAGCAAACCTGCAGCACTACAGACTGCTGGAATACAACTTTAATGATGTCACCTTTGACCTTGCTAGCTCAAGTTGACAAGAGGTTGGAGGGCATCTTATTACCTATCCCTGTACCAACTGCTTCTTATGTAACAACTCTATAACATGTGACATAGTTCTCATAGACAGCAATTTCTAGAATTTTACTTAACTCAATGTAGAGAACTTACATTTGGCATCAGAAATACTATGATATGGAGACCATACAAGCATCCCTCCATTGTCTTTATCCGTGTATTTTGTAGCTCCTAGGGGGGGAAAATCATTTGTTTAATGTTTTAGAGAACTTAATTGACAGGCAGTAAAAATAGTAATATACAAGAATGACATCCAGTCCATCGATCTTTATTGTAATGTAAGTGTTTAGGCAAAATCACTCCACAACTTCTCGGAATAGAACAGCCTGGATTGATACAAAATGGAACACTGGTTAAATAGTACAGGCCTGAAAGTACCCAAATTTCTGCTTTATAGCTAAAGGGTGACACTGTGAGAACAGCAGCTTTACTTTCTAATGGTAAGCAACCTTCATTCAGCTGAACCAATCCTGTAGGCTGAGGCCTCCCACTCTGAAAAATGAAGTTCATTCTCAAATATATCACAAGAATGTGTCTTGAGGATAAATTCTGCCATCATGCCAGGGAAAGCATAGTTAACTGCACACTGAACATTAACTATGCATAGGCTTGGACAAGTGAAATAGCTGTAGTTCATTCTTCGAATAATAATTTAAACATGTTTTGTAATACTAGTTAACCTAGTTAACCTTGCTAATGTAATGAATGAGACATGTTAACTTAAAAAAAAAAAAGAATTTGGGACACCAGAGCATAGCCCTCTCATCTTCTTGTGAGGTTACTATTGGGCTCTCTCATATTAATAAAGCATTCCTATGCACACTATTCAAAACTGCATGGAGCACATGCAAATAATGAGAGGAAGAGAACCACAAGTATGGGGCAGTGGAAGTAAGGCTAAAAACCAAAGAGACGGTGAGGGGAAAAATCTGCCTTGTGAAAGTCTATCTCTATGTATATTCACTTTTCTTCAAGAGAAAAATTATTTACTGTTAGTTTTTCTTAGCATTAAGAGAAATGCTATAATGTGGAATATTGTGCTATCATCAGGTACAAGGTGTCTAGCAAGACAGTTTTCATGTGGGGACAAAACTGAGGGGCAGAGGTGTTAAGGCAACAGCCACTATAAAAATTTTCTGTGGAAAAATATATAGATAGTAACAAAAATAACTCGCAATGAATATATTTTAACTAGGAAGTATTCAAGCTTGCACAAAAGGAATTTAAAAACAGTATTTTCCAAATGTGAGTTAGTTGTCTAAAACAAAGAACAGAAAATAGAATGTAAATACACATCATACAAGCCATCTTACTATAATGATCTGAACTGTTAATGAAGTCCAATGTGCTACGATTTCTCCACAAACTTCTGGAGAAACAGTCCACTTGAAATATCTTCCAAAATGTTACTGTTGAAAGCCAAGATATTTAAATTTGTGTTCCTCTGATGAAGCTCTGCATATCTATATGGTGTCAGATGTGTCAAAGGGCCTTTACAGACTGCCAGAAAGAATGCAGCTTGAGACCACTTTTAACTGTCCTGGCTCAGTGCAAGGGAATCAAGGGAAATGTATTTTTTTCTGGGACATTTAGCCTTCTCTATCAAAGAGCTCTGGTGCCACAATAAACTACAGTCCCCATGATTCCTCAGCACTGAGCCAGGACAGTTAAAGTGGCCTCAAGCTGCATTATTTCTAGCAATCTGTAAGGCACAAAGTTAGGAAAGCATTTTCATACACTGTTGTGGATGCACCAAAGGTGAGTCCTGCAGCATACAAAGTGTCCATGCAAGGAAAGGCTTACTTGTATATGTACAATGTTTTAGTAACTTTGTGAAGTATTTATGTTGGGTCTTTGCAGGATTCTACTATATCCTTTTATTTGGATGCCTAAACTGTATTTTTAAATGCCCAACTGCAGCACTAGAAATTTGGAGACTGAAGCTGCATCCACGCTGCAGAAATAGTCCTGTTGGACACCACTTTAACTGCCATGGCTCAATGCTATGGAATTCTGGGAATTATAGTTTGTTGTGGCTCTAGCGTTCTCTGACAGAAAAGGCCAAATGTTTCACAAAACTACAATTCCCAGACTTCCATCGCACTGAACCCTGGCAGTTAAAGTGGTGCCAAACTGAAAAGCATCCCTGGAGCAGGGAACAAGTGCAGAGAGCAATGCATTCATATGAAGTTTGTCTAGGCAAGTACCGTATTTTCCGGCGTATAAGACTGGGCGTATAAGACGACCCCCCGCTTTTCCAGTTAAAATATAGAGTTTGGAAAGAGTATGACTTCCAAAACTGTTGTTGTTGTTGCTGTGCACCTTCAAGTCATTTCCAACTGATGATGACACTAAGGCAAACCATTCATGAACCTCCTTATACCCGACGTATAAGACAACCCCCACTTTAACCCCAGATTTTGCAGGTTAAAAAGTAGTCTTATATGCCAGAAAAAAAAGATATGTGTGTTGGGATTAGCTGAAGTATTTCCTCCTTTTTAGAGCAAGAGAATCCAAACCTGGATCATGAGACTTAGGAAGGACTTCACTATCATCCCTTCTGCAGTACAATGCAAACACATCTTAGAGGAAATCCATTATAACTAATGGGTTAAGATAGTTAACACTAATTTAAGACCCACTGAATTAAATGGCTATACTCTTAAGTAGAGCTAAGCCTAGATTTTACCGGTGATGTAAAGAACACAGTAACATTTTCTAATATTGCACTGAAGAGTCACAAGATGAAACTTTTACTTCGGAAAAAGAAACTTTTACTTTGGATGGGCAGTGATATGCACAAACTGAGTTAAAACACAGAGAGCAAATAATTTTTTAAAATGGCACAATGTAGGCTGTAGGGTATTTTCTAACCCATTGAGAATTCCAATTTATTGAAGATTAGCATTATGGCTAGGTAAGTGGTACTTTTAAATGTATAAAGTTTCAACTTCCTGAACTCACTGAGAATTCCAACGCTTCTTCTCCTCCCCTCCCCATATGGGTCCTACCGACAACCATGGCATCATGGCACAATAAAAAACAACAGTGGACATTATTTGTCTCAATATACTACACTGGCTGGAAGAAAAAGCTACCCCACTGGCAAAAAGTAATCTATCTGTTGGACAATATTTATCTCAAGACATTTTTGTCTGGGGAAAAAAAATCCTGTAAGACAGGTGGCTAAAACATCATCAGTCTTGTATAGTTTGGAATGGTCCGTTTTATACATTATCTCATAATGTTTTCTCTGTGGTTTTTGCTGGCTTAATTTTTTTTAAAAAAGATAAAGTGGGTAAAACAAAGGGACACTGTTTACAGTTCTTCACATGACAGTCTAATAAAATGACTACACTGCAGGATTTGTTCTGTGTAGACTTTGCAACAAAACAGGACTTGTAGGACTATCCTGGCTGGTGCATGAGAACTAAATGATTGCATTCCACCCCACTTGTACTATGAATCACATGCTTTTTCATACTTTAGTAACACTAATAAGTGTCTGATACATAAAAGAAGAAGACTGGGAATGGGTAGGTCTTCTATGAAAGAACTAGAAAAGTTCCTAAAGAGTAAGGATACACAACTGAGCACTAAAGTCAAAATCGTCCAAACCACTGTATTCTTTATCACCAGATGCGGTAGCTGGATAAGAAGAAAATCAATTAATTTGAGATACAGTGCTGGAGAAGAATGCCAGGTATACCGTGGGCAGCCAAAAACACCCCAAAAAAAAAAAAAAAAAAAAAAAAAAAAAAAAAAAAAAAAGACAAATCCTGGCTCCACCATGTAAACCCACTGGGTGACCTTGGGCAAGTCACACTCTCTCAGCCTCAGAGGATGGCAATGGCATTCAGTGGAGATCTGAAACCTGATTTCCAGAATCCAACACCAACACTCAAACCACTACACCACACTGGCTCTCAATTTTAACCTTTATTGCACTTGAAAAGAAGTCTAACAACAGTGTGCTTGGCTTTATGTGGAGATAAATATCATCAATGGTGACAAATGGTACATTTTCTCATGAGCAATAGTGACAGCGTGGACAGTGAGAAGTAAAATATTCTGACTACTTGTTTCCCATAATGCCCTTCAAGTAGGCCACTTGGGACAGATGGCATGTTATAAAACTACAGCAAGCAGCTAGATAGTATACTGTAATTCTGAACACCCAGTTTCATTACAGAGGGACAGGGATATAATTTACTTGTGTGACAGGCAATCAGAGACTCACAACCACCAATTTACTGCCCTTTTATAGTTCTCCATGCCACAGGTTGTTAATTATGAATATTATTAGTTGTTTCAAAAAGGAAGTATTTTATGTAATATAAATTAGATTACTTCTTGAAGAATAAGATAAGGTGACAACAACAGAATGAATATACCTGTTTTCTCAGATTGGGCTTCACTAACTGCATAGCAGGGCTTGCAACAGATTTTAAATACTGTACCTTGTACCAGTGTCTCTTCAATCTTCTTTCTCCCCGATCAAGTGCCATTTCTCATCTGGTCTAAGTGCATTCATATTTAAGGATATGACTGTTGTTGTTGTTCTTTCAAGTAATTTCCAATTTATGGTGACCCTATCATGGGGTTTTCTTGGCAAGGTTTGTTCAAAGGATGGTTGCCTTTGCCATCCTTTGAGACTGAGAGCATGTGACTTGCCCAAGGTCACCCAGTGGGTTTCATGACTGAGCAGGGAATTGAACCCTGCTTTCCAGAGTCATGGTCCAACGCTCAAACCACTATGCCACACTGGTTATGATATAAATGCTTAAATAAATATATATGAAAGAGTAGATCTGACTTTTCATATCTTCTCCAGAAAACTTGTATATAATGACAGATTATTCTATCTGATAACTAAGAGAAACACCTCTGGTGACACAGGATACTAAGGGGCTGATTCCTGCTACAAGTCTCCCCACCCTCCCGCAAAGGCCTTTGTGAGAAAGTCATTGACTAGCAGAAATACTCCATGGCTTCCATACTTAAAACCATTTTAATTCCATTGTAATAACATGCGTTTTACCCCACAAGTAACAGGGGGGAATTCTTCTTGTTGAAGGCAAATTTCTGGTTTGCGTGGACTCTGAAGCTATTAATCATCAATATCTCCGGTGTCAGATTTCAATTACATTTCAGTCAACAAAGACAGGGAACATGTGAATGTAAGATGTGAACCTATACATTTCTAAGAAAGTTTACTACAGATAGAGGTTTCCAGGGACACAGGCAGGGTCAAGATAAGTACTAAATAACAGGAAGTTATTTGAACAGGCATACCCAAATTCACATCCAGATGGAGCTAAGGAAGGAAAATTCTAGGCTCAACAGACAAAAATCCAACCCATGGACATGACATTAAAGAAGAAATTTACTTTGAGCCCAAGGTAAAGGGCACTCTATTTTTAATATCTAGGGAGTACATAGGTTTAGGAAAAGAGGAATGTGCAATCTTTGAACATTTGTTCAAGATATATATATAAAAAATTAAATCTTGGTTACCTTTAAAAAAATACTGTCATGGACACTGTAAAAAATTATCTTTTGAAAAGGAAAATTCAACCTGTGTTTCTTTTCATTTATGCAGACTGAATGCAGTCATGTCATACTACAAAAATAGGAATATGTTAAGTTCCCTTCTTTGGTGAAGCAGTCAGTACTGTATTTTCCGGCGTATTAGACGACTTTTAAATCTGGAAAATCTGGGGCTGAAGTGGGGGGGCCGTCTTATACGCCGGATA